GGCCTAACAAAAACCTTCAAATATTTTTCCAACCATTAAATCTCATATGTTATATACCTTCAAATTTTCTCCTGGTTAATATGAATATTTTTTATTTTATGTATTAATTATTTATTTTTAGCATCAAAATATCATTACACTCGATTTGGGAAAATTTATAACTTCATTAAAACCTTTTAAACATCAGGTGCAGCTAGAACTATGGAATTACGCTGATAAAAATTGATAAGTAATAGTCACAAATAAATCAACAACGATAGTTTGATGCTAATGGCAACAAATAATAGAAGCGTAAGAATGATGTAGCCTATTTATATTGCCAATCCTTCATAAAATAATTTACTGAAAATTTCTATTTTAAAAATTGAAAGATTTAAAGTAAATTCCCAGGAGGATTTTTTTAGTAAAGACTAGCTATGATGTAAACTATTTCTTACATGTTAATTTTTAAGCAGAAACCGTCAAACCGAATTACAAATTCTCAATACACAACGCGTAAATACTCAAGAGAATTAACGAGTGATAATCTCCAAATAGTATCACAATTTCTGTCCCTAAAACTCATTGGCCTTTATTCTCGGTAAAACTGAACCAGGATGACCCACATATGGGTGAAAAGTGTATCACTTTTGGACGAAGCCTCACTCATTTCTATGAGAGCAGAGCGGCGCGCTACCTCGGCATTTGCGTGTGTTGTTGGCCTATGTACCGAAATGCTGTGTGCGGACTTCTGTTGTAACCGAATTCTGTCGATAAGAAGTTATAAAATAACTTATAATAATAAGTTATATAATAACTTTATAACTAAGAAGTTATAAATAACTATATAAACTAAATAACTTTTCCTACTTTGGAATAAGCTTCCAAATCTAAATAAACTAATTTATAATATTTCGTCATATTGTCGTTACACACCGAAAATATTTTCCAAACAACTGAAAAAATAAAATTTGACCTTCATCAGTTTACAGGAAAAACCAACACGTTGTCATACAAATTCAGTTTTGCATGAGGTAATGATCATAAAATAATTTATACCACAGTCGTTTGCAAACACAATATATTCGCATGGGCAATGTTCTAAAGAATTTAAATGGGAAAAATGGATTTAATATTCATAATGTGCATGCATTTCCTGCAGAAATTTTCCAATGTACGATGTTCGGGTTAGTTTGCAAGTCATTATGGAGATCCGTTAATCGCATTAGAGTACTTTTTTGTTGGCCTTTGTACCAAAAAAATATCGCGATCACATTTCCTTCTTCCGTCAACTAATGAACGGCATAATGACGAAAAAATCATTTATTTGAAAATTTTATACCTGGCTATACGCTTGAAAAATAAAAATAAAAATTCTCCATGTAAGGGTTCATAGGAGTAAATTAATATTATAATTAATATCGAGGAATAAGATTCATTATAGAGTAAAAAAACTCGTTTACTTCCTCCGCTCTTGTCCTACGAAGTCCCTTTAAAACAACGTACTTGTCACTTCTCTGCTTACCTCACACCTCGCCAATTAGCTACAATCTTGCGCTAAACGAGCCATTCAAATGGCACAGTAGCAGTTTTTCAATAGTGTTATTTGGCTCGTAACTTTATGAGATGTTAGTACAGCTATCATTTGGCGCTGGTTTGCCGGTGTTGGGATGGCCATAAAAGTCAAGTGTGGCTGCAGCTCAACGCTCGTAAATTTCAGCGGCAAGGTCGCCTGGCTCGGCCATAGAAGACAGCGGTCGAGGCAGCGGGGCTTGACAGCGGCGAAGGGTTCGCCGAGCCGCTGCCGCTGAGCTCACAAGCGGACTAAGTCTGGAGGTCGAAATTTAGTTTAAATCTAGGCTGAGAATCTAAATTATTTTGTGACTATATACTACAGCCAGAATAAATTTTATTAATTTCGTAATTTAAAGGCACAGCAATTGAGGTAGAATTGCGAATTTAAGATGAAATTATAGACTTCGATCTCATTACTTTTTGCAATAAAATCATCAGATGAAGCGTGATGCGGCGATTGGTTTTAAATTGATATTTTTCAGTTGGTTGTCAAATTTTTATATTATAGTTTGAGTGCGCTGCATAATTATATTCACTTACACTTTGATCCACTGTTTTCTAAAGATCTTCTATTCGTTCTCGGTAACTATAAAGTACATTGTAATTAGTGATTTATGCGATGTTAGGAAACATACGCTTAAATTAGGACATGATCTTCATTTGTATCGGGACATGATCTTCTTTTTCGTATCAATTATTACCATCGATCTGGGATTGCACAACCGAACATTCAAAGCTTTGCAATTAAATGAAAAAAAAATTTCTTCAAATGTTTATTTTAAACTGTTGCAGAAACATTAAAAATTATTATACGGTTGAGTTATTTCAGTCGGAATGAATGACCAAGAACAATATCATTTTTTACTTTAAACCTTAAATGTATCAAGATTAGGTATCCAATTATCAATTATTCAAAGCTTTCAATCTGAAATATGAACTCAAGTTTTATCTGCCACCGAAGTAATATAATGTCAATTGTAATTGTGAGATCAATTGATTCCTGTGTAATGTTTAGGCTAATTCTAATTTGTTCTATTTTGAATTTTGTTAATACAAAGGATAAAGTGATAAATGGCGTCTTCATGTTAATAACAAAATGAATTTTGAGCAACAAATACTCAATTCCCATCAAACTTTCATCGTTAATTATCTTGATATACTTGTCTGAGAAAGATAAATCAAATAGTCCTAATGGTTGATAAATGTCGTTTAAAAATATATGCTGATAAGGTACTATCATTTTTATAATTATGAAATACAAGTAAAGTCTTTAAATTGGCGAGTTTCACATTTAAAGCTCGTACTTTATTTACCATAATTTCGATTTTATATCATAAAATACTTTAAAATATTTCTTATTCACTTTCGAGGAAAATAGAACGCAACAAATTCATATTCGCCACTATAGACGACACTAGCTAACTATCTATTTTACTAGTGGCTAACGATTGAGGAAATAATGTTATGCTTTTCACTAAAATTTTTTTAGGCATCAAAAACGCAATAAGGAGAAACATAATTTTAATTTGAGCTATAATATGCAGCTCTAGTAATCTCAACAACATATGTTCTGTTTTCAACATATGAAAAATAGTGAAATTGTATATAGCTGTCATTTATGTCTAAAGCGAGTGGTTGTGTTGTTAAAAGACATAATTGTTCCATACTTGTCACAAATTGTTTAGATATTTCAAAATTGTGATGAGAATCACGGAATGAAAATTTTAACTCCGATGGTTTAATTTGGGCGTCAATCGAAATCGTAATAATATTTTCGAAAATTCTCTGCATGAACTTTAATAGTATCCATTTAGTTTTTTTCTACCTAATGATTCATTTGGAAAGTTAATGCTAACCCAAGGGGTTAACTAAAATTTAATTGTGTAAGCAGCCATTTTTGTAAATTTATTGAACGATTGATCTTCAAAATTCGACGTCATATAAACACAAGTAGATTTTGAAACTTCTGTCTTCTCTATTTATAAATTTCAAGCTAACGTTTTAGATTTTTTCCTATGATAACAAAAAAATGCGCCTCCAAGCCATTTATTGTAAATTGAAATCATTACATCTTAAATGTTAAATATATTACTGATGTAATAATCGTTCACATAAAAATTTTGCTTCCCGTACTAAATCAGAATCAATTGCTGGTAATGCGCGTTCACTAATATTTTAACAATAACCACTTCTCTACTTGTCTTTCATTTGTTAAAGTTGCCTTGTAATCTGAACTTCAGGTCTTTCTGCAATTTGCTCTAACCATTATACATTAACCATTATACCCGTTTCAATTAATTTTCGACAACTGCTCTAACCATTATATATTTTCGACCCGTTTCAATTAATTTTCGACAACAAATTCTACGCGGAATAGGACATTTATAATTTTATAGTCTTGAGAATCTAACCGGGACGAATTTTCCACATAGAAATTCATGGTCATAGACTGTTGGCATTGCAATATTTATTGGCGACAAACAAGCACGTTAAACTTGAAAAAATATTTAATTGACGTATGGTGACATAAAATGAAGATGTGACAAAAATAGTTGAATATAAATCAATAATTCATGATTGTTCTGTATTGCTCCACTAACAATTTTTTTTGTTGCTTCGTAAATAAAAGTGTTAAAGATGGCTAATATCTTCTGTGTGATGTGAAAGAAGGCGGTCACAGGAGAAAAAATTCATTAAAATAAAATAATTATTCCAAAAATATCCAAGAAGTATCTCAATTTGCCCAAGCACTCAAAGAATAAATCTTAGAATTTCCCTTTGAATTTTGTTATATTATATTTAATGCATCCCAGCTCGTAAATGTCAAAAGTTGTTACATCACTTATGGCTGTGCTGTTATTAGTTGTAAATGGTTCGAAAGACTTATATTTCAGCTATTATTTCCTAAATGGTTAATTGGTGATTTTTATGAATTAAATTGTTGTAGTAGAGACAAAGTGAATCTATCAAAATGGTACATAAGCAAATCTCAAAACATATTTTAACTATTTATATATATGGTTTAATATCGACATTGCTTCGTAAGAGCAGACTTTTGAAAAGCTTGCGCATGAAATAATTTCAATCTAAATTTTATTTTTCACGTCAAATCAACAGATCCTGCAGCGTGTACNTGAGTCATAGAGATGAAGGTGAGTCAGGGAGATGGAGGTGAGTCAGGGAGATGAAGGTGAGTCAGGAAGACGAAGGGTTGTAGTGTTGCAGATGATGAATGAATTTAATAGCACTAGAATGAATTAATAGCACTAGAGCTGTGCAAATAATTCAGACAAAAGTTAGAAGTGCAAGAGTTGTCGAAAAAAAAGTGAATACTCTTACAGCAAGCGGGATAAAATCAATCGATTTCAAGGGTAGGAAATATCGGCGTCGTCTGCAATGTCTATTTCAAAATAATAATGAAAATTTGGAAATTTTTCGACAGCGGGACCAAGAGATGAATACGAGGGATGAGTCAACACAACTCATGCACGACTGCAATATGAAATTACTCCTCAAAATTTCAGTGAGTTAAATGTTCTAATTTTATTATTATAGGCGTTTTGTTCATCAGATTTGTAGTTCAAGTTCATAGTAAACAAATGCTCGCTTGTAGTTCTTGGTTAAATAATAATGTCAATGAATGCGCTATCTACTTTAAATTATAATCTTTTTATTTTTCTTCCATTTCCAGATTTATCAATGCTGTGGCAGCGAATGAAAATCATATGAAGATATACAGCAGCAAACCGTCGGACATTCTCTATCCGTCAACTTCAGGGTTGAAATTGTCAATAAAAGAACTACGACCGACTAAATTTCCAGTGCTAAAATTTCTCTTTAAAAAGAACATCGTTAAGTTATTAGAATACTCTGAGTATCAACAAAATTGTGTTCAATGCTAATATTTTTTTCAACTTTCTCTTTATCCTAATGGTGATCCATGCAAACAAAAAATATAAGTTTGGTCAAATAATTGAAATTCCGAAATATTTTACCTTCACGTTCAAAACAGAAACGATTTAGTAACCTCTTTTCATTTAATCGTTTCGGTTAAGCATTTTTGGAAAATGTGAAAGTTGCAAATAAATGAAATAAACTATATAATCACAATAGATAAATCGAGTAGAGCATCGATATGCCTCCAATAATAGATTATGTCGTAACTAGTTGATCAAAAAATTTTCATTAATATCCTCATAATTTTAACTCTGATGTATCCGAATTGTATCTATGCCATCATAGTTATTTGTACTTTTTAACTATGCAGTAAATTCAGTTCTCTTGATCTCAAAATTCATCGCGTTTCCTTTTTTATTGTAATCTCGTGTGCCGCACAAAATTCTCATGAATTTCTCCCTCTTGAACATAGAGAGCGGTTGAGCTCGATGCTTCTCGACCATTATCATCCTCATTGCTGAACTCGACCAATAACTGAAAGGCACATCACAAGCTTTGTAATCGAGACGCTGCGGTAATGTTTAGTGCTGTCATTTTGATCGATCTGGGCGAACTGCGGCAGCGCGTGTACGCTGGATGCTCTCACGAGCTGGGGTGCCTTGTTAAAATTTTTGGACGTTTTATCGGTGGCCAAATGATATATTTTTTAGTTGAATGTTAGTGGTGGGATATTAACGTATAAATAGGTTAACAGAAGTTTTTCGGAAGCTGATGATTGATCAAGCTTGATTCCCTTACAAGTTTTGTAAGATTTGGGAAGTTAACAATATTTTATAAATGAAGCATGAATGTTTCATAAATATTCATCCTAGAATCTAAGCATGAAACGGCCGACCCTAATATTTGAGTGGCCGGTAATGCTTCGTCTAGAATGGCAGAGGACTGATCAATAATAGCCTCCGATAATCCACCGATAATTATTTATTGTGTGTTAGACCCGACCACAGCCGCTCAACTTTGAGAGTAATTATTAATGATGTTTCGAGGGAGTCGGGAGGGAAGCGCTGCGCATACGAGGGCAAGAAAGTGAAGCGAAGGAGATCCGTCGAAATATTCAATAAATTAGTGTAAAAATATTTATGATAATAATGTCCAATAATAATTGATCGTGTTTAATTAATTAATATTAATACAATGGAAAAAATGATGAATAAATTATTACCATGCAATCCATGATTCAATTCATAATTGATTATTTTAGAAGTGCTGAAAGATTGAATTTTTCAAACGCATGTGTTCATTATGAATTTTTTCACAGTTGTCTAACTTTTTCAATAATGCGATTTTGATGCAATTGATGATCCTATGCACTGCCATTCGTGCTGTTATCGTACGGGATCTTGAGTGAATTGTGCTTGTAGAAAATAAATATTAAAACTACAGAACATTAATTACGGTTTCTATGTATCGTTATATTAGAAATCGTTAGTGGGCAGTGATTTTTTTTTATCAATTGAACGCGGGTTTACATTTACACATGAATCACATATTCACATTTTTCGTTACGCATGACAGAAGCCTGCGTATAGTCATATTTACCTAAAGGGTTTAAAATTCACTTCTCAAATTACTATTGAGGGAAATGTATTTTGTAGTCTCAATGCTGTTCAGCTGTTCAATTAGACCTCGAATTAGAGATAAAGATCAACCCAGCTAAGAAAAATCAAGGCAAATGTTTAGCTTGACTGAAACTGAAATTGAACTTCACTGCTTCGCGGCCTTCCTGTGAATCACCAAGGTAATTTAATTTGTAATCACCAAGGTAATATGAATTTATAAAGTTATTGCCTATTGTGTCAACAATATGTTTCATGTTGGCAGGAAGCTGATAGAAAGCAATCAATTTTTGGAACATTCATATGTCTATGTTTAAAGAAAAAACATAAATATTCAAATGGATTGCCCCAGTCAACTCTGAATACCTGAATAATTAAACACAAAATATGTTTCCATGCAATAAATTCCAACGGGGGAAAATTAATGTGATGTTATCAATAAGGTTTATAGATTTTACGCACCATTAAGATATTGTATATGGAGGTTGGTTCATTCTTTCTTCGAGCGATCTTTCTTTTATTGTTATGTATTTGTTTGGAGAGTTCGATTCATCCAAGAGCCTGCATGTGATGTAATTGTGTTAATTCGTCATGTGATGTTAATTTCCTAATTTTATTCAAATCACGATAACTAGATTTACGGCCGTCACCTATGGATGAGTGCATCAATTTCCTGTCATGTTTTTTTCTAGCCGGAAAATCCTTATGGAAAATTATAATCAATAGCCCCACATTTGATCTTAATTTATGCATATTAATCCTTCGAATGCAGTAAAAATTCCGACATAAGCTGGATCGATGTCGAACTACTTAACATGTCAATACCTATTATAATATCATCTGTTTTCTGGAAACCTGCTTTGATTTTACAATGGCGACACGGGATGTATGAGTATTGAAGAAACGAAATCAATAATGATATAGTGTAATCATCATGACATGAATTTTTTCCTCTTGAGTTCTACCTTAATAAATATTTTTTTTAATTTGTGAGGTCTACCTTAAGAAATATTTCTTTGTTCATTTTACGAAACAAGATCAAATTTTACAAACGACTTAAAAAAATCGAAGTTTCGTGATGAGAATGAAAGATTAACTTGACAAAAGAACAACTTTCTTATATTTCAAGACGAGACTACAAACGATGGCTTGCGATTATAGGACGACTGAATATAAAAACGTTGTTGTGATTAGTTAAAACCTATACAAATTATTAGAGAAACGATAATTATACTTTGAATATCTGTTCGACGAAAAAAAATTTGACCCCTCGACGACCTAGCTACGACCTAAAATTAAAGTGTAAATAAAGACGAACTTACATGCTTCCAACGCATAATTTGGCACGTGAGACAATAATTTCACGTGCTGCAGAGACCCGATTTCTATCACGTGCTTGGTCCCCTCACTTCGCGTGGGCGCCTGCAATTTATGACTTAGGGGTCCCATGGCCGGGCCCGTAGCTATGATACGAGCGTATGGGGCTAATTGTGGTCACCCGATGTTTGCTACGAAATTAAGTGAGCGACTAAGATGTTTTGTGATGACACGAACGGGTGGGGATAATTAATGTCGTCAGATGCTTGATGTTTGCTGAGATAATGAATGAAAAACAAAAGATCTGTAATGATACGAGCGTATGGGGGCTAATTGTGGTCACCCGATGTTTGCTACGAAATTAAGTGAGCTACTAAGATGTTTTGTAATGGTACGGCCGTGTTGGGCTAATTAATGCCGTCCGATGCTTGATGTTTGCTGAGATATCGAGTGAACAACGAAGATCTATAATATTACGAGCTAATATAGGAGGCTAACTGTGATTCCTGATGTTTACTACGAGATTGATTGAGCAAAGAAGATGTTGTGGTCTAGAGCTCGAGTTGAAAAAGTAGATTCTATTGATGGTGCTATTCTTTTCGATTAAAATCAAGTTTTCCGATGAGCGTCTTAATTCGTATTATATTTCATTATGGTTTTTATGTTTGCAACAGAGCCCCATTACTATTCAGTACAAAGCCTTTGGGAAATTTCGGAAGAACAATGTAATTATTTACCAAGGGTGGTTTTTATTTTGATAATAAGAAGGACGGTAAGAAATATTTAAGGAAATGAAATTTGTAGCGGAGTTTAGTATTATGGTAAATTATTGTTTTTAGTTCAAGGTACAAGGGAAAAAATCGAATTGTAGAATATTATCGAAAGTTTATTAAAAATTTGAGTACTAAAAGATGGTATCGATTAATATATTAAAAATAATTATACTTCTTCATTAAATAATGAAGAAAAACATTGCTGATTCCGTCTGAAATTGAGAATTTTTCCATCGTGTAAAATTAATGTGATGTTATCAATAAGGTTTATAGATTTTACGCACAATTAAGATATTGTATATGGAGGTTGGTTCATTCTTTCTTCGAGCGATCTTTCTTTTATTGTTATGGATTTGTTTGGAGAGTTCGATTCATCCAAGAGCCTGCATGTGATGTAATTGTGTTAATTCGTCATGTGATGTTAATTTCCTAATTTTATTCAAATCACGATAACTAGATTTACGGCCGTCACCTATGGATGAGTGCATCAATTTCCTGTCATGTTTTTTTCTAGCCGGAAAATCCTTATGGAAAATTATAATCAATAGCCCCACATTTGATCTTAATTTATGCATATTGATCCCTCGAATGTCGTAAAAATTCCGACATAAGCTGGATCGATGTCGAACTACTTAACATGTCAATACCTATTATAATATCATCTGTTTTCTGGAAACCTGCTTTGATTTTACAATGGCGACACGGGATGTATGACTATTGAAGAAACGAAATCAATAATGATATAGTGTAATCATCATGACATGAATTTTTTCCTCTTGAGTTCTACCTTAATAAATATTTTTTTTAATTTGTGAGGTCTACCTTAAGAAATATTTCTTTGTTCATTTTACGAAACAAGATCAAATTTTACAAACGACTTAAAAAAATCGAAGTTTCGTGATGAGAATGAAAGATTAACTTGACAAAAGAACAACTTTCTTATATTTCAAGACGAGACTACAAACGATGGCTTGCGATTATAGGACGACTGAATATAAAAACGTTGTTGTGAAAGTTGGAGGCTATAGTGGAGAGTACATAGGCAGGCGCTAATGTTTCAAACATACATTTTGGTTTCTCTGCAACAACCATGCAATTGAACCACTACATCCATTACAACCTACGCGGTGGTGGTTTTAGGGGGACATTTCAAACCAGTCCCCCATTCATTTATATTATTCTGGCACGCGAGGGCTTCTACATTAGTACGACGCCTCGTATAATAAATGAAGTGTCATTGGCTTACGCTCGCATTAACTGTCGCCGGATAACGCTGTTACTCCGGCACCTACCCAGCCCATTACCAGGCCTGACTTGCAACATGAACCTAGCAATCCATATCGACACTCAAGAAAATAAATTAATCGTTTTGTCTAAATTACGACACTTTTTCTGGTAGTAGCACTATTACGCCCTTATTCCGGGCCGAATTGGGACAGGATGACCCACTCAAGAGTAAAGTGCTTATCGCTTTTTGGACAAATCACATGCATTTCTCTGTGTGTTAAGTTTCCACATCCTCAATCGAACAGGCCACACAGTCGCAGCTAGAGACACCTGCGCGGTCATCGTCTGCACCACAGCTGCTATTGAGACTCAACTTTTTCATTATTAGTCCTTGTATTTTTTTTATTTCATTTTGATCATTTTTATCTTTATAGCTTCAAACGACACCGGCATCATTTGCATATGTCCGTTACACGCATCGATGGACAAGATTTTTATAGCATGAATATTTTACTGTTTCTCTTCAATTTTATTACAGGACTGAGATAAATTTTTCGATAAATTTGCCAATAAAATAATGTCTATTTTTACCTCACATGATGAAAATTGTTTCACTGGTTCACTGTATTAAAACTTTCCAACTTCGATTTTACACAGGGTATATTTAACTAAATTTTGCTCAAAATTTGAATATTATGTTAGTTTGATTCTCAATTCTTCTTGTATGAAATAAAGAAATGAATGTCTCGTGCTAACGATCTCCATATTAATTAATTGGTTTACGTGTAATGCAAATAAATTTCCCACCGATGAAAATTTTATAACAATTCCATGAGAACTACGATACTTCGATAGGATCTACGTACAGGCTCCAGTTTATAGAAAATTAAGTTCTTGAAATGGATGGATTTTTTAAAAATAAAATAATCATGCACGCAATATGGAAATATATTTGGTAAAGATTTTCCGATGTGTTTTGAACAGAATGCATAGTTAAGCTTGAACTCAACGTTTTTTTTCAGAATCGAAAAATATTCGAAATGAACTGAACGGATTAATAAATGGACGAGCATTGGGCCGATGCCGATGATTTAGTGATTTGTGGTTAGAATTGTCGTAAACATTTGAGTCTCATTTCATGTTGGAAATGCCCAAGTCCCCTTAACCAAACATTTGGTGCACTAAACACTCCCATAAAGCATCCCATAACTCGGCTCATGCCCAATCATCTTAGGAACGATTTCTCTCTCGTTCCGTTTCAAAGAGTTTTTTTTCCCAGCCTCCTCACATATAAAGAATCTCACAGTGAGGCAGAGAATGAAAAATAATTAATTATTTTTTTATCCATTGAGTATGCAACTTAACTAAACTTTCATATATGTAGTTATTAAGATATAAGACATAGTTTTTCGAACAGCGCTGAACGAAACTCACAGGAGTGAGCGAAGATCTTCGCCGGCCGGTGGTATCATAAATTGGCCAGCAATGAGGTAGCGAGTCGGGGCTTGGCCCGCCGTGGCTCCAAGAGACATGTTTATGGTTCTTCTGTTTACCGCAGATCTGAGGATGCTCGAGGGAAGTGTTATTTAATGGAGTGATAACACCTGCATATTGCGAGTGTGAATTGTGGGTGGCACAGACTTGAGGGGGCTGGGAACAAACTCATTCATGGAATCTTGGCAAAGAAGTTTCGCGGTAGAAAGGCTGCATAATATAGAAACAATTAAGGCTTTAAAGTTGGCTTAATCGGCACAGACGGAAATGTTATGCAGCATGGTCGTATTATACCTCAATAATATAAAAAATATCAAAACATATTTTTTCGATATAATAGTTAAAACCTATACAAATTATTAGAGAAACGATAATTATTCTGTGTATATCTGTTCGCCAAAAAAAATTTGACCCCACTTAATAACGACCTAGATACGACCTAAAATTAGAGTGTAAATAAGCATGAACTTATATGCTTCTAACGCATAATTTGACACGCGAGACAATAATTTCACGTGCTATGGAGACCCGATTTCTATCACGTGCTTGGTCCCCTCACTTCGCGTGGGCGCTTGCAATTTATGACGTAGGGGTCCCATGGCCGGGCCCGTAGCTATGATACGAGCGTATGGGGCTAATTGTGGTCACCCGATGTTTGCTACGAAATTAAGTGAGCTACTAAGATGTTTTGCAATGATACGCCCATGTGGGGGCTAATTTTTGCCGTCCGAGGCTTGATGTTTGCTATGATATCGAGTGAACAACGAAGATCTGTGATGTTATAAGAACTTGTGGGGTTAATTGGGGTTCCTGACGTTTGCTACGAGATTGAGCGAGCAAAGAAGATGTTGAGCTCTGGAGCTCGAGTTGAAAACGTAGATTCTAATGATGATGCTAATCCTCTGTATTAAAATCAAGCTTTTTTATGAGAGTCTGTTTACTATATTTCATTATGGTTTCTGATCGAGTTTGTAACAGAGCCCCATTACTATTTAGTACAAACCTTTTGGGAAATTTCGGAACAATAATAATGTTGTTATTTAACAAGGGCGGTTTTTATTTTAATAATAAGAAGGGCGATACGAAAATATTTAAGGAAATGAAAATTGCAGCCGAGTTTACTATTATGGCAAATTATTGTTTTTAGTTCAGGGTACAAGGGAAAATATCGAATTGAAGAATATTATCGAAAGTTTTAATCAAAATTTGATTACTAAAAGACGATATCGATTAATATATTAAAAATATTTATACTTCTCCATTAAATATTGAAGAGAAACATTGCTGATTCCGTCTGAAATTGAGAATTTTTCCATCGTGTCAAGGAACAGATGACAGACCAAGAGCATTCTAAATTGGGTTATTAATAATTATTATTTTCAATTCAATTTCATGAACTTCAATGTTTTCCATATCCTGTACTCTTGATAATAAAAAATTCAAAGAAAAGTCGTCTATACTTAACCATATAATTTAACGCGTATTCTTGCATAACCACGCATTTCATTGTGACTTATACTAATCGCCAAACTTCAATAATAAAGTAACTTGATGTATTAAAAGGGTTATATCCATTTAATAAATGACTTGGTTACTTTATTGTTGGATAAGGAATAGAAAAATATAATGAAAATTTAAACTACATGCATTTATATGGCTAATGAGGATATAGGCTGAACACATAATTGTGACAATAACTTGAAGTATAACAACGATAAATTTTAGAAATGGATGAAAACTGTCTTATATAGTTTCATGTTCTGAAGCTTTATCTAGGCTAGCAGTATTTTTTGTTATAATTTCCACACAATATTTCAACAAACGCAATCAAATACAATTTATCATGTTCTACTTCGTGCAATAAATCTATCAATATTTTATGCCAAAATAATTTGCTAGCGAAGTAATTTGCTCGTGCACGAGTGAGTTCTACGGAAAATAATGGACGAGGAAATATTACTGCATGAAACTAAAGCTTTCAACTGACTGTTATTTCGCAACATATATTAGGCCTTCTAAGAAAAAATACAGATTTTATTTCCACCAAACATTGAAAGTACTGATTTATGGACAAGGTTAGGTCGATGACGCTTTTTATGAGGACATTTTCATTCAAATATTTACGTTGCAGTGCATTTCAGAACTTTGCAAAGGTTCTGAAATGCACAATATTTTTTTATTCACGGAGTTTTAATTGCTCATTGCTTTTTTCCCTGCGTGTAATAATATTTCAACTATTTTATAGATAGTTTGTAAACAATCGAGACACGGAAGAGCCCTAGTTTGAATAAGTTCTCCATAATGAATAATGCGCTCCAATAAACTCTACGGGATCTTGGAATGAGATTCAATTTACTAAAATTTCAGTAATTGTTAGCCCCTGACATACACCAAATTTCAGTAAATTAATTAATTCGGTGAAAAATGGTAAGTCAATTGGTGTCTTAGTTTTTGCTGTTCAACCCCCATGCAGTACACAAAATAATTTTTATCGTCTTAAGCTCAATGAACTTTTTTCATGCCTCTTACTCAATATTGACGGCATGCACGATAATATTGAGATATTATAAAAAAATTGGTACGTTGTGGAAATTTCGAATTCTGAATACAGTTTGCTTTGGTTTTTTTTACTCCAGCGGCGAATTAGGTAGCATAATGTTTAGTTTTACTATATTTACTATATTTTTACTATATCAGTCAACGACTTTTTCTGACTGCACAAGACTTTACGGTAATGAAATCAGTCGACGTAAAAAGTTTATTGACCTGCATTATCTCATGTATTTATAGAAAATTATTAAAAACAAATGTTAGTAGACATTTAATTGATAATTATTAACTTATAGTGAAAATTGAGAACGTACGCGTGGAAAACCAAGGTTCGTATATGATAGTAAAGGCGATGAAACCCACGATAATCACTCTAGTTCGGCCTACTGCAAAAATCAATTCCAAATTAACGATCAAAAGAGAGGCAAAATTTTATTTGATCAGAATTCTACCTAATTGGTAATTTTATCCGCACAATTTGATGATACTGTGTTGTAATTACATAGTTTTTAGTTGTATTCTGCACATGCAAAGCCAGCCGTCAACGCAAAAATAAAGTGGTCAATATTATTGGCCTGTTCCAAAGTCATACAGAATTCTATAATAAAATTAAATATACCACTCAAAGCTAGTGCTGGCATCTCGACCACGCAGGCAAGCGTTGACAAGTTACAGAACAAAGGTGCAGCTGATTCGTGGTGCGTTTCAATACGCTAATTCATGAAGGAAAATGTGAGGTAAAAAGGAGTGAGGCAGCTATAGGGATGAAGAAAGAAAGCCTTGGATAGGTGTGAGTGCAGTCATGTTGCGTGTGCTTAGGAGGAGCCAGAAGGGGGCCGGTTTTGTGGTAGGCGGAGACTGTTTCGAGGGGTCGGGAGGTGTCCGCAGATTCCCGAGGCAAGACCGAGCCGAAACTGGCAGTAACTTGTAACTTTGGAGCAAGGTGGAGTGGTCGGAAGGTAGTGTTCGCTGACTCTGAATCTTAACCCCCACCGACCCTCGTTCTCTCTAGCTTGCTACAAGCCTCAACTACTGGCAGCAGCTGCTGCAGCTCATCGTCTTATTTACGGCTGTTTATAGTTGGTGTATCGTCTCATGGACGCTCAGTGAGCCTTGATCTTCTACGTATCACGGCTCGTAATTTATCCTACTCGTAGTGTCGAGGTGCGGTCGCGTGCGTACCATTAGATGCATGGTTCTCGACCACAGTGTGCCCGCACTTCCAACTCTTTATTGCCCCTATAACAATTGACGCACTTGTCCTCTGGACAGAGTAAGGGGGACTAACGCCACAGCCTTCTGCTCACTGCCACAAACTGGCATTAGAGTTTGTGAAACGCTCGTTTATGCCAGTGATGGCAAATTAAAAAAAAATGATCCATGATAAGATTATTTCAAATCAAGGTTGTGTGGTGTGATTCTTGAGTGAAAATAAGTGACTTAAACCCAACAACAATGAGTTCGTATCAGTTCGTAAACTCGATGTCCGCTTGTTACGGACGAGTGCAAGATGTTAGCGCCGTTGCGGCCGATTATTACGGAGCCGCAATGAATAGTTACGACACATGCTATTCTCCACCACTGCAGCAATATGGAGCTTATACACCCACGGGTGCCTCTGCTTTACCAAACGGAACCCCGACAGCTGACTTTTTAACGTCGTCAGTGGCAGCTTCTTCAGCTGCTGCCACTGGGAGTCTGGGCACAGGAGATGAGAGTGGAAGCTCGACCCCAGGTCCATCTGTCCATCCCCGGCTACACCAGCCTTCCTCGTCTCCAGTATCTACCCCTCAAGCCAATACGACCTCGGGAACCTCTAATAATATTTCGTGTAAATTCGCTCCCACTCCTGAGTCGGGGACTAATCCCGTCGGATCTCCTCAAGATCTTTCGGTGTCAGCCGGAGGACCGGGATCGAGCGGGTCCACGAGTGGATCTGAGCAGAATACACCGACTAGTGGATCAGGTGGTGGTGGTGGAGGAACCTCAGGTGGTGCAAATAATAGTGGAGGGAACAGTGCGTCAGGAGGTGGAAGTGAAGCAGGAGAAGGAAGTGAAGCAGGGGATTCCACAGCAGGTGGATCGGGGTCGAATACTAAGTCGAACCCTCACATTTACCCGTGGATGAAAAGAGTTCACCTCGGAACCAACAGTAAGTGAATCAGATTTACTCTTTAAAAGTTGTCAGGCAACTTTTATTATTTCATGAAGCATTCTCTTAAGGCTCACAAAAGAGTTTTATCCATAGTCTCTTCTCAGTTTTTTTAAGCCCTAACTTTTTATTAGTAGGAAATATTTCGCTACTTTATCGGGTGGTGCCATGAAAATTACGATTTTTTATATATGCGCATTAGGAGTATTCGTTTCTGAATTTATGAAAGAAATACAAAAATTCAAACTTTACCACTGATTTTCGTAAAAAATTTGAAGCCTGAGAATTCGTTTATAAGTGCACTGCATGGTAACATAAACCAATATATCCTGTCTCCATTTTGAAGAATAATTGATTGAATTTTGTTCTCCAGTAAGTTCATCGAGGAAAGCGTTATTTTTAAAGCAAGCTTCGCCAAAGCAGAACATGAACTATTGCTGTTCTTTATTTTGACATATTTCACGTACTATTTAATTAATTCAAAGCTCAAGTGTAGAAACTTTTTTAAATTCCACCAGTAACGGCTGCATTACAAAGTTAATTAATTAATGATTTTGGTATGGGATTTTGTTTATTTAAACACTGTGAAGTTAAATTTATAGCGATCCTTGCATCCGAATAATTCGATGATTAAAACTACACTACGAGTATTGATTTACAATTCTATTTGATTACTCTATCTAATGATCAGAGAGAATAATTTTGAATTATAATCTGCGCAAAAAACCAAAACATGTAACAATAACGAATGTAATACTACAATCTGATCTCGCAAATCAGAGACATTTGCATGATCTGAATTCAATACTTTTTATTATCGACTCGCAGATTATAACTATTTGTGATTATAACTATTTGTGCATAGGTTGAAAGGTTCGAGTATTGTGTGTTTGTAAGAGCGTAGTCGATGTGTATTGCGACCTAAATTTTTGTGATTTCAAATCCTGCAGCGATCTATTCTGCATCCCACAAAAATTTGTACTCTTAAAAAAATTTGTCTTTGATACACGCGGAAGTCTTCAAATCCGTATTCCCGCAAATTAGCTTATCTATATATTTTTCTTATCCTTATTCATATATACCAAATTTTAGAACAAATATCAATCGTTAGTCCAACGAATTAATTAAAATTTAAGCATTAACGGCAGTGCTTGTTGTTCAACAAATTTACTTCCTCTGCAATCAGAATTGAAGGCACGAAGAATATTTGAAGGAGAAGCGCATTGTAATCTAATAAGATAATCCGCATTAAGATCAGACATTGAATTCTGAATTGTTGGATTAGATTACGTGCAGGTGCTGCACATTTAAATTAATACTTTTAAAATACTGATTACAACGAGTTAGGGCAGTGTTGAGATCATTCAGGCAACCCGAATGAAACATGAATACAATACAGTGAAATACATAGATAAAAAATACATGAATAAAAGAAACACATGAATAAAAAAATGCATGAATGAAAGTAAAATACATGACGCATTCATCCAGAGAATTGAGGATTTTCCTCCAAGCAGTTCTATAATATTTACATTTTATTAGAAGCGATTATGTAATAAACTAAAAATAGTATCAACATATTATGTTAGAATACAAAAGACAAACAAATTTACAAAAGACAAAGACAGCAAGATCTTTTAGGCTGCATTTTTTAGACAGTTAATGCGTACTTAAAAGTTGGTGCGATCGGTTATGAAACATTAAGCGCGAAAATGCCCTGGAGAATTTCGGAAAAAATATGTTAAAAATTGCCTGCAAGTCAAAGTTTCATGTTAATTCAATGTTTTTTAAATAGGACCCGCCTGAACATAAGTGAAAATTTTTATGCAGGTTGAACAATTATGTTGTATTCATAATCCATTAGATGCAACGAAGTTAACTACAGCAGTCAACTTATAAGACGAAAGCAAAATAATTCGAATGGAAATACGATAGTTTGATATTCGCGTTTTTACCATTTTAAAGTCGTTCTTCATAGACCATTTTCTCTATTTATAATCATAGATATTTTGAAGCGACTTTATTATTCTTAGGTAATGTTTTTTCAATATGTAAATACCGCTTTTGCACCGACAACCTCGGAATCGACGGCTTACGCTAAATCTTCTTTACTCGATGAGCACAAGCACTCGAATTGTCGGTATTAATCACGCGTGCATTTATTAGCCGATGTTGTATTATACTTGAAATCCTCTAATGTATTAACATATTTATATCCGTTATGATATACTTTCTGTCGTCTTCTTTGGCATTAAAAGAGTAAAACTCATCGAAACTAGTTCAGTTGAGTTAAACCTAATTAAGCCTTGATGTTAATTTATGGTGGTGGGTTTTTGGGGCATTTCTTTACTGGGATGATTCCTCGTAATCCCAAACGCAAACGAAATCATCTATTTTTCTCTATAAAACAAAATACTTTTCTCGATTCCGGCAAAGTCACTGACTTATGTCGTGATATTAAAATGGGAAATAATAAACCAGTGTGCCAACCCATACATTGAGTAGAATTGAATGAATCAACTTTATATTCTCAATTAATATACCTGTCAAGAAAATATATTTATCTCATCGCATTTGCTTTGCACATTATCTCTTTAAAAATTGTAGGATATGATTTTTTGCAAGTTATATTTATTTGAGATTTACCATCGGCAAATATTCATACTTGGTATTTTAGTATTTCAAATTGCAAACTTCTCACCTGACGAAAATCAGTTTCGCAAATATTTTGTCCACCATAAAATACCCAGTTCTCAAGAAGTTCAATACCAACCTTTATGNCAAAAAATTTTCCACTGTGAAATGCGCAACATTGAATTTTACGCAAATAGGTTTTACTCTCAATTGAAATCTATATACCATTATATAGATAGACTTCTTCTCTAATTTTGAAAAATTTAGAGGCCAGCTTGAAATTTTCAAGTTTTCTATCTCCCCTAAATCAGCTGTTGGCATGCACGACTGAAACGCACGAGTCTTCCGCTGCTGCAGCCCCGTTGCTGCTATTGTTTATATCTCCTCTAATCCGTCTCTAATGCTTCTAGAGCCCCAAAAATTTAGAGCTCTAAAGTGAGCGAGAAGACCTGAACATAAAGCCAATTGTCGAGTTGTTGTTGATGACTACAGAGGCAATCGATTTGTTCAACGTGATTTACGGTCAAAACATAAGTCAATTTACGTTCAAAACATAATTCTTGCACCAAGTCAGGTTTATCGATAGTATTGAGCAGAATCCCAAATAAAAATGATTGCAGAGGTTGAGATATAATTTTCTTACTCATGAAGACATCATCTTCGAGAATGAAGCTACAAAAATTAAAGAAATTGTAATCTGACATTTTTTATTCAAACCCAACACTTAAAATTCATTCCAAATGTACGCTGTAAAATAAATTAGCACCTACCTATACACTAATCTATAATTTCAGGCGATTATTCTAAATCATTATAGAGTGTACGTAAGTCGTTCCTTTTCGTAAAAGGCTTAAATTTTCTTGAGTGGTGGGCAGCGTGTAAACAATTCCTCGCAAATACCGGACGGTCGTAAATAGCTGCTCCTCTAAACAGCGGCAGCAAAACTCAAACAATAAAGCTTACTCATCCTCGAGCTTTTTTAGAGCATGAATTATGTGAAAAGTCGCAAGAGATTAGTTTCAAGTTTTTCCCTAAACATTAATTTTTTAGGCGAAACTTGAAACTAAACGAACGAAAATGAACTTGGATTAAACTAAATACATGAAGATGTATATTTTGTATTAATCTGTTCGAAGAACACGGCCTGCTCTTTCAAGAACTGCGAGTAGTATGGACCCAAAGAAGTAAACAAAGAGCACCTCATACATACAGTATTATAGCACCTCAAACAGATTAAAACTCATACGATGAATTCATGAAAAATTTTGTTTGAATTTAAGCCCGATTCCCGCCTAAATGACGTTCTCTCACGGAATGCAACTTGAATACGATACAGTCTTGAATATGAGCGAAAATGTTTTCAATCAAAGCTACTTCTGACATTTAAAATAGAGTTCCAATTAATGCGACTTAAATTCTGGCGAAAAGAGTGAAACCATAGTCCATTTGTTTTCCACTTGAAATAATTGTGTGACAATTGCAACAAATCATACATTTTATTTCACCCCTTTCAATAGCTCGTTAAATTTTATTTTTTCATAGGCTGTGTAGGCTCGGCCACACCACGTTTACGTTTACTTACGTTTAAAAATCTTAAATTCTGGCGAAAAGAGTGAAACTATAGTCGATTTGCTTGCCTCTTGAAATAATTGTTTGATAATTGCAACAAATCATACATTTTATATCACCTCTTTCAATAGCTCGTTAAATTTTATTTCTTCATAGGCTGTGTAGGCTCGGCCGCATCACGTTTACGTTTAGTTGATACCTTGAACAGCCTCGCCTGTGAGTCGAGTTCCTAAATCCTTCTCTTGAGAAGTGACATTGACAAATACCGTGTGACACAACCACTCTCGACTGCAAGAAAACCTACCGGAATGATCTCGAAAACTGAAACATGGCATGCAGCAGCTTCGGCTGTGAGAAGTCATATTTTCATATCCGGTAGCTATGACTGATTTTCATCCAAATTTCCATCCTAAGAGGGGAAAATTAAAAATTGTATCCAACTAGTTCATTGAGTCTCAACTAAATTACTAATTTTTTTACTGATCACTCGAGGTTCTATTTATTTCGTGTCAATACTCTCACAGGAAAAAATGAGCCTATCCTCAGCGTGTGAATGCAGCAAGACAATATTCTACGTATATTCAATAATCTTTATATTCGTCGAACTTTGTTTGAGTGTGGGATTGCTTCGGGCGCGTATCCACGATACGTATCCTTAAATTCAATTCTTAGTGGGAGAATAGGAAAGGTTTGAAGGAGAGGACGAGGGAAGGGTTAGATAAAATTTTATTTTTTTCGAGTTATATATAATAATGAGTTTTATTTAAGAGATGCATAATAGAATTTTTGTCTATTTA